TACTTTATTTTCAGACCTAAAATAAGCAATGAGAAATGAAATCTGATCTAGTTTAAGATTTATTTCCCTCTTAGGTTGCTTTGGAATAGACTAGTTCAAACATCTTTTTCCTACAATGTACTTTGATAACTAAACTCTAAACACTAAAACTCCACCTAATCAATACATGGTAACAATAATGAAATTCCTATAAAATACTTAAATCTCAATACATTCACATTTCCCCAAAGAAATAGCAATTATTTCCGTTTAAGTACATCACTGATCTCATTTTAGATAATTAATAAAAATCTGCATTATTGGGTAACTTTTTTTTTTGGTACTGGGGATTGAACTCAGGGTTACTTGACCACTGAGCCACATCTCCAATCCTATTTTGTATTTTATTTAGATACAGGGTCTCATTGAGTTGCTTAGGGCCTCACAGCTGCTGAGGCTGGCTGTGAACTCATGATTGTCTTATCCCAGCCTCCCTAGTCACTGGAATTACAGGTTTGTGCCACCACACCCAGCGAGTAACTTTTAGTAACTAATATTTTGAAATAAAGACAAAATCAGGCCAGCATAGTGGCTTGTGCCTATAATGTTAGCTAGTTGCAAGTCTGAGACAGGAAGATCTTTAGTTAGAGTCTTGCTGTGTTACTCTGGCTGGCCTCAATCTTTGGGGCAAAAAAGAAAGGAAAGAGAAACTAAGTTTATATATAAAATGTCAAATTTGAAGATTAAGGCATGAAATACAAATGTTCAGTTACTTTTAAGCATTTTTGTTTACATATATTGGTTTTCTCTCTTGGTCTATTTTTCACAACTTGTAATTATTTTCATAAGTACCTTGGCTGAAATCCTAGGACTATATAGAACTCAACCCAGCTCAATAGAGATTCATTCATGTATAACTATCTTCTAGGAGCAAAGCTTATTTTAAAAACAAAACAACACACACCAAAAGCCTAACACTTCTTAAAAGATTATGTTTGGGGCTTCCTAAACTGTTTAACAGATCAGAATGAAAAATTCTTGTAAACAGTTCTTTCTTAGTCTTGTGTCCTTTTAACTTAAAAGGCTGTATAGTATAATTGCTCTGCAAATATCAGAATTTTCTATATATTGTGTAGAGTACACAAAGAAACCATGAAATGGCTTATCTTGTACTTATCAACTTGTTTATTTTTGTGCTTCCAAAAAAAGCTATATTTTTTAACACAAGCAGCTGCTACTTTGTAAATATTTTAATGGCTTCTGTTAAGTAGAGCTGTCAATTTAACAAACAATGTTGTAAAAGATTTTCATTCTTCCATGTGATTGCACATCTTGAAATGTGTTTTACCCTGAAAATCCTTTGGAGATTTTAGACTGGAAAAGATATCTCCTTTGAAGGCACAAAGCCAACAATAGATTAGATTTAAAGAATAATATATAAGATCACCAGAGAAATAGTGCCATTTGTTTCAGAAGACAAATGTATAAGAGCAATAAGTTCTCTTAGCTCACTTCTTGTGACTCAGGCAGTTTGTTGAAATGAAACGGCACTGGCATTATACCAGACATTTTAGGTATGACCTTGATTCTTTTGCCATTTAATAGATATTGGTTTAGAGCAAGCCAATTAACCTTTTTGACCCTCAGTTTCTGTATCTGCAAATGGGGTAATGATACCTACCTTACAGGGTCATTATGAGAATTAGAGATAATATATGTAAATGGCCTAACTCAATAGAGGTGACAATTATTCTATTTTACCTACCTAGCAACTAGGAGTCCCCCAATCATTTTTTAGCCTTTCTCTTTTATATTTTTATTCATCCAGCTTATCTCTTCTTTCTTTTCTGTCTACTTCAAAGTGAATTCAAAGTGAGAATTATTTTAGAGATAATCTAACTTACCACTTTTGTTGAACAAATAAGGAAATAGAAGCTCAGAGAGATAAAATGACTTGTCCAAGATCACAGTTAAAAACAGAGATCATCCTGTCGCCTTGAATTTATCACTGTTTTTCTTCTTGCTGTGAAATGAAATTTGATAAGGAGTTCTATCCTGGGTCTGAAGAAGCATGTATAGAAAAAAAAGAAAATTTAGTGCAAGAGACAAGAAAAGGAAAAAAGATTAAAGAAAAAGGAGCAGGAAGAGCTTTCCAATTTTTTTTATAACTTTGTTTTTTAATGTGGTGCTGAGGATCGAACCCACGCCTCACACATGCAAGACAAGTGCTCTACCACTGAGCCACAACCCCAGCCCTACAATTTGTTGTAAAGCAGGGTGCAACAATCTTTATGAAGGGCCAGGCAGTGAGTATTTTAAGTTTTGCAAGTCATTCTTAATTCTGACATTGTTTACATAATTAAACAACCAGCCAACCAATGGGTCAAAGAAGAAATCACAAAGAAAATTAGAAAATATCTTGATATAAATGAAAGTGAAAACAAACATATCTGAATGTATGGGTTGTAGTAAAAGTAGTGATAAGAGAGAATTTAAGAATGTAAGTGTTTACATTAAAAAGAAAAATCTCAAGAACCCAACTTTATACAATAGGAAACTGGAAAATAACAACAAAATTAAACTCAAAGCTAACAGAAAGAAAGAATAAAGATCAAAACAGAGGTATATTATATAGAAAAAATATCAGTGAAACTTGAGGTGGTTTTTCAAAAATATCAACAATAATGACAAACAACTAGATTAAAAAAAAAACAGCAGACACCAACTGAAATCAGAAATGAAAATGCATATCTTATAATCCTTTTTATGTATTTAGTATTGGTGATAAGATTGTATCAAACAACTGCATGCCAAAAACAATTTTAAACTTAGTACATTTATCTAAGTTCTATAAATATACAACCCACCAAGACTGGATCTTGAAGACATAGTTACGAGCAGACCTATAACCAGTAAGGGGATTGAATCAGCAACCAAAACTTTCCAACAACAACAAAGCCCTGGACCCAGATGGCTTCATGGAAAACTGTACCAAAAATTTACAGAAATAAAACCAGTCCTCAAATGTTTCTAAAAACTTGAGGCAAGAATTTCCTGAACTCCTCATATAAGGCAAGAATTAACCTAACACCAACATCAGACAAATCTACAGACCAATACCTCTGATGAATATTGATGCAAAAAGCCTTAACGAAATACTGCCAAACCCAATTCAGCAATACAGTAAAAAGATTATATACTATGATCACATAGGATTTATTCCTATAAATCAAGGGCAGCTTAACATATGAAAATCATTTAGTATAATATACCAAATTAACAGAAAGGAGGACAAAAACTGCACCATCATCTCAGTTCATACACACAAAGGCATTTGACAAAATGAAGAATATTATTGGCATTTTGAAGGGGACTGCCACCAAAATGGTAATAGTGCCACTTTAACAATATTAATTCTGCTGATTCATGAATATTGAAGGTTTTTCTGTCCTCTTCAATTACCATCTTCCATGTTTTATAATTTTCATTGTAGAGGTCTTTAACATCCTAGTTATTTTATTTTTTCTGAAGGTGTTGTGAATGGAATTTTCCTAATGTCTTCCTCAGTTCATTATTGGTGTTTGGAAAAGTTATTGATTTTGTGTATTAATTGTGTATCTTGCTACATTGCTGACTTTGTTTATCAGATCTAAAAGTCTTCTAGTAGTCTTGAGTACAGGATCATGTCATCTGCAAATAGGGATTGTTTGACTTCTTCTTTTGTTATTTGTATCCCTTTTATTTCTTTTATCTAATTGTTATGGCTAAAATTTAATCAGAGTGGTATGAGTGAACATCCTTTTATCATTCCTGATCTTAGAGGAAACAATTTCAGTTTTTCCTCATTCAGCATAATGTTGGCTATGTTCTTTTGTATACAGCCTTTATTATGTTGAGTAAAATCCTCCCATAAAAACCCTCCCATACCTAGTTTCTTCAGGGCTTTTATCATGGAGGTATGTTGAATTTTGTCAAAGGTTTTTTTTCTGTATATATTGAAATGATCATATGATTTTTATCCTTGATTCTACTTCTGGGTGTATTATGTTTATTTATTTCCTTATGTTGAGCCATTCTTGCATCTGTGGAATGAAACCAATTTGATCATGGTGTATAATCTTTTTAATATGTTGTTGAATTTGGTTTAATAAGTATTTTATTGAAGACTTTTGTATCAGTGTTCATCAAGGATATTAGTCTATAACTTTCTTTTTTTATTGTGCTCTTTTTTTTATTGTGCCCTTGTCTGGTATTGATATCAGTGTGATACTGGTTTTGTAGAATGCATTTGGAAGCATTCTTTTCAGCATGACTGATAGTTATTAAGGTCTGGTAAAATTCAGCAGTGAATCCTTCCAGTCTTTGGCTTTTCTTTTTTGAGAGACTTTTCATTACTGCTTCAATCTCATGCATGTCAAACAATTTTTTTAAATATCCCCCCTCAAAATTGGAAAATTTTCTCTGTACATTTTTATACATCTTTATGATGTTGGAAGATACATCTCCTTATGTACTTTAAAATGCTAATTAAGGGGTAGATGTAAGTATAACTCAGTGGTAGAGTGCTTGCCTAACATGTGTAAGGCCTTGTGTTCCATCCCCAGTACTGCAAAAGATAAATAATGCTAACTGGAAGTAAATATTGGAAAAGATATTTTCCTTTCCTTTTCAAATTGTATGCTCTGTAAAAGAGTACAATAATTCATTTGTTATAATATTTCATTAGTAAAGTTCACGCAAAAACATTATGAAGTAAGTGGCACAAATCAATTTTTAAAAATCTGAACTTGAAAGCATACATCATTCTGTTATCAAACTCTTCTGGCTAAAGACAATGTAAAAATAACAGAAGTCACAAAGGGACTTGGGCTACAAGATTTTCATTGTGTGCCATATCGTAAAAAAAACTAAAGAAAAAAGTTTCAGCGGGATATGTTAAAGTTTTTCTGTAATCTTACTTATGATGGTATTAATCAGAAATTATATTGTATTTTACTTATACATTAATTATTTTTCAACAGAACTCCTGGGGCCCTTGGACAGAGGGGATATGCTAAATGAAGCTTTTGTTGGCCTATCTTTAGCATCTCAAGGGGAAGACTCATTTCGAGATAATCTTCCTTCCTTTGGTTCAATCCACAGGCATAGTATTCAACAAAAAATACTGAAAGGCTCTTCTAACAGGTAAGATATGTTAAACTGAAAAGTTACTCCTTAAAGGAAAGTATTTAGTGTTCAGTACTTTGACTATTTCCTGCTTAGTGCAAACTAAGAGTTAAGCAAGAATATTTCAAAATGTCAAGGAAAAATATACATTTTTCTCATAGCTAATATTTCACGTTAATTCATGCAAGAGCAGGTATAATGAAGGCAGAAGTGAATGTAAAAAAATATAACATTATTGTAAGCCAAAATGAATTTATTATAATATCATATTTTATTTGTATTCTGTTGGTAAATTATGGGATTAAATTACCTTAAATGAATATTAACTTCAAATATATATTCTAAAGTATAATTTATATCACCTATAATTATCTATAATATATTATCTATGGGGCTGGGATTACAGTTCAGCGGTAAAGTGCTTGCCTCACACATGCGAGGCACTGGGTTTGATCCTCAGCACCACATTAAAATAAAGATATTGTGTTCTTCTACAATTAAAAAATAAATTTAAAAAAACTATGATCAATAATATGATCTAATTTACACTTTAATACAATCTATTTTCTGAAATCTAATAGATGAAAATTTAAATATCTAGCTTGTCACAATGGTTACTGAGAAGAAATAAACATGAGATTAAAAACACTTGTTATTTATGGTAATAGTAGTGGTATTATTTACAATGTTAATAAGAACTTCAAGCAAAGGTAGGCAATTTTTTTGTGTGAAATGGCAAATAGTAAATGCTTTAGGCTCTTCAGGCATGTAGATTTTTTAGAAACTACTCAACCCTGCTATTGTAGTATAAAAGCAGCCATAGACAACATATAAATGAATGAAAATTATTGTGTTACAATAAAACTTAATTTACAAAAAACAGGCAGCAGGCCAGATTTATATTGATGATCCTAACTATATGTAATAATTGTAAAAAGGCAATATTTTAAATTCATGTATATTGATTATATACACACCTTTACAATACTCTTGAAAAATGTCCCAAACTACATATATTAACAGTAAATAAAAAGGGGCAGAATTTCCAAGTATGACAGTTTTTATTTAGGTGATTTTATTAGATGAAGGAAAGGATTTACTAACAAACAATTATAAAACTGATGAAAACCCCCATTTCAGGGCTCTGGAAATCACATGAAAACGAACAATAAATTAACTATCATTTTTTTCATAAACAAATTGCTGAACTTCTGATAATGAAGTAGGAGTGTGTGATGTTCTTGCTAGAGACTACTCCCATCCTCCCTTTGCTTAAACTAGCTCTTCCTGGGTAGGACTGCCTATGAAAACCAACAGTTTAACTTGCTTTAGAACTCAGTGTGGAAAAACCTTTGCCCAGCAGCACTATTAATAAAAATAACAAACTCATTGTCGGTAAAAGTGACAGACTTGAAAGAAATGAACAAGGGAAAGCCACTGTTCTGCTCTCCTAGTTAGACCAAGTGACCAAATGACAAACTAGCCAAAAATTTAATCAAGTTGATCCTGAAAATAATAGAACCAAAGAGAGACTAATTAAGTTCTCCACAAATTCCTGATGAGGTTGTATTACCTATCATTTTGGTCTTATTCCTAACAGAACTCAAGAAGAGTTTTTTCCTTTATGCTTTTTTCCCTCCTTCAAACCCAATTTCCAAAAGATGCCCCTCCTCTTTTGCCTTATATTATCCATCCCCCACACCCAGAATAAATCAATAAGAACTTGATTACAGAGAAAATAGGATTCAAGTCCCAAAACATAAAAAGAAGCAAAGAAAATCCTTCTTTAAATACAGATTTTACAATGCAGATTTGGATATTTATGCACCAAATATCATAGAAACCATCTCTGTGAAGGAAAATCTACAAAAGATGAAAGGATTTATAGATAGACATTAGTAACAGAAGACTCTAATTTCAAAATAGATCAAGTAGGCAGAAAATGAGAAAATTTAGTTGAACAATCGATAATGTAGGTATTATGGATTTTATCAAATTCTATACCCAGAATACAATGTCTTCCTAAATGGAATATGACAAAATTCAACATTTAAACCACAGATTTTTTAAAAAATCATGAGACTACTTTTAAGCTTTCTTTGCAAATAAAAAATGTCCTAGGTAAATACATATTTCCCAAAGTGGCTACTATTCAATTTAGAACTCTGAATTATAAAAGAAATAAACAAAGTTATTTAGGAATTACCCTGTGATAAAGCAGCTGGCCCAATTGGTTTGATAGGAGAATTCTACCAAACCTTCGAAGATAAGATGTTCCCAATATTCCACAAATTATTCCAAAGGATTGAAAATAAAGAACTTTCTATAGTACATAAAAACTGAAAAACAATATCATTCATGAATACCAGTATTAATAACAATATTAACAAACAAAATCTAATACCTGAATCTATCCTGGGAATACAAAGTTCATTTTATCAAGTCCATTAATGTCATACATCCTACTAATAGATCTAAAATGAATAAAATCCATGATTATAGATGTTTAAAACATTTCTAACAGAATTTAACACCTATTCCTGATGAAAACACTCAAGAAAATGGAATTGGAGGATTGTATCTTTCTTTTTTTCCTTGTGGTGCTGAGGATTGAACCCAGGGCCTTCTGCATATGAAGCATGCACTCTACCAACTGAGCTATATCCTGAGCCGGAGGATACTTTCTTAATGTAAGATATATAACTTAGTCTTAATACCAGTATTTCCCTTAAAGGGGCATCAATGAGAGCATTTCCACTAAGATCAGAAAGAAGGCATGTATACTCATTGTTTCGGGTACTTTTCAATGCTATACTAGAGGTATTAGCCCAAACAACTTGATACATCAACAAAGCAAGGGTTGGTAAATATGCCTTGTGGGCCAAATTAAACCTGTTGCCTGTTTCTGTAAATAAAGTTTACTGAAACATAGCCATGTCCATTTTATTATTTTCTGTAGTTTAATATAGTCAGATCATGTGGCCTGCAAAATCTAAAATATTTCTTATCTAGCTCTTTGCAGAAGAAATTTCCTACTGGGGCTAGGGTTGTAGCTCAGTGGTAGAGTGCCTAAAATGCGTGAGGCACTAGGTTTGATCCCTGGCACCACATAAAAATAAAAACAAAATAAAGGTATTTTTTAAAAAAGAAATTTGCTACTTTCTGAACTAGAAGCATAAGAGATAATAAGGAATTAAAACTATTTCTAAGTCAGGCATGGTGGCACAACACACCTGTAATCTTAGCAACTCAGGAAGCTGAGGCAGGAGGATTGAAAGTTTGAGGCCCTAGCAGCTTAGTAATATCCTGCCTCGAGAATAAATAAATAGAAGGACTTGGGGTGTAACTCAGAGGTAAAATACCTCTGGGTTCAAAAAAGTACTTAGGGTTATTTTTTGTTGTTTGTTTGGTACTATCTCCATTTTGCAATAAGACAGTGATAAAATCAATGATAATCAATGATAAAATGAAATCAAATATTTGGAAAGTTTAATAAGGTGGATAATATAAAATTGACATACAGAAATCAACCTCCACATACACAAGCAATAACCAGTTAGTGTTAGTGAAAAATAAATCCCCAGTTACAATCTTTTTTTTTGTGTGTGGGGGGGGTGGTACTAGGGATTGAACTCGGGGACACTCAACCACTGAGCCACATCCCCAGCATTATTTTGTATTTTATTTAGAGACAAGGTCTCACTGAGTTGCTTAGCACCTCGCTTTTTTCCTGAGGCTGGCTTTGAACGTGAGGACCTCCTGCCTCAGCCTCTGGAGCCACTGGGATTATATGCCCAGCCCCATTTATAATCTTAATGAAGGAAATTAAATATAACAAATTTGCAAAATTTATATGCAGGAAACTTTTTAAAAATCTGAAAGATATAAAAATAGCCTCAAAAAAAGTGGAATTCTTGGATAGGATCAGTGTTATTCAGATGTCATTTCTCCCCATATTAATTTGCAAGTTTATTGTAATCCCTATATAAATACATACTTTTATGGAGTTAGACAAGTTGATATTAAAGTTCTCATAGAAAAACAAGCATATAAAAATACCCAAACACTAAAAAATAAAAACCATAGGGAGGGACTAGTCCCAATAGATGTTAAAACACACTATAAGCCTTTAAAACTGTCACATTTGTAATTTTATTATGATTATTAGATTAATATCTGCTTTCTCATTAATCTGTAAACTCCATGAAGGTAAGAACATCATGACTGTCTTAGACATTATAATTTCTCCAAGCCACATCATGATGTCTGTGACAGTTGACATAGTTAACGCATAATAGGTAGGCAGTATATTGGGGTACCAGGCCCACTGTTCTCTTGGAGTTCTCAGTTTTGTTAGGAACGAAATGATACAGATAAAAAAGTAAGCAAAATGATTGAACAAGTCTTTTGATTAAAGGTAAATATTAGGAAAAAGATAATGAATTGGTGATAATGGAAATCTGTACTGGAAGGTAATATTTGAGAACAGGACAAGGAGTCATCTATGTGAATAAGTGGTAAAGTGACAGAGTAATTCATGGGAAGTAAACTGTACACATAAAGGTCTAAGGGTGGAAACAAGTTTGAGAGGTTCAAGTAACAGAGAGCCAATACAGTTATACTGTAAAGAGGGGAGTGGAGAAGGTTTGTAGAACTTTAGTTGGCCATGCAATTAGGTCTTCATTCTAATTATAGAGGAAGCCATTATAGGAATTAGAGTATATGGTAAGCAGAAGGGCCTTCCAAAGATGTCCATGTCCTGATCACTGGAATTTGTGAATATGTTAAATAACATGGTGAAGGGGAATTAAAATAGCAGATAGAATTTAGACTGCTAGTCATATCACTTCGAAATAGGGAATATTAACCTAGATTATCACATATGCTTAATATAATCCTGAAATACAGATTAGAGAGAAGAATCAGGATCAGAGTGATTCAGTGTGAAAAGGACTTAGCTCAGCACTGCTGACTTTGAAAATGGAAGAAGCAGACCATGAGCCAAAGAATGCAGATGA